CTTCATCTTCCTTGCAGCCAGCCCTTCCTAAAACTCTAGTGACTCTATAGGTCTAGAGTGCAGACCAGTCTGAAGAGCAGGTGGGTGACCTGCTTCCTAGCTGAGCTGCCCCATTCACCAAACCCAGATCTCTAGGGCATATCATATGTTCCCCCTTTCTCATGGCTCCATAAGCTTTACCAGAGGTCAAGACAGATGTAGGGAACCAAAGACAAAGATCTTGACCCACCCACCTCCTTCAAATACTCCTTAAAATCCATCCAACAACCCCAGACCATACCACTCCCATGGATTCCATACCAAAGCCCTCAGCTCAAGCTGGTTCTAGTAAGTAAGACACTGTTTACTACCCATTTGTACTTTTTAAAGTCCATCCAACAAACACAGACTATTCCCTCTCCCCTGGGCTCCATATTCTGTTCTATGACTTTGGAAGAAGACTTTAATTTTACCAAAGACCAGGACAGATCTTGGGATCCATGGCCCCCAAATGCCAGCAGACACATCATAATGGATATGAAATCTTGCCAGTCATCAGAAACCTTTGACAATTAGGTACAAAGATCAGAGAATAAATTAAAACCGAAAGAAAAAAAAAAAAACCACTTATCCAACAAAGACCAACTCAGGAATCACCATTTAGACCCATACTTATCACAAATCCAAATTTGTAATAACAGTATAAAAATGCAATCAATAATAGATAGGACAATGCGGCACTACAAGAACCCAGTTATCCTATGACAGCAAGATATAAACATTACATCAAAGAAACTACCTTAAAAATAACTTTATGACAATGAAGACGTTCTAAAGGAGAAAATGAAAAATATCTTTTGAAATTTAGAAAAAGAGAAACAGAAAATTGGAGGAAATCAATAAATCCCTTAAAGCCAATAAAAACAAAGAGGTGAATAAAATGGTTCAAGACCTGAAAATGAAAAAGAAGCAATAAAGAAAGCACAAACTGAGGGAATTTTAAAAATGGAGAATCTGAGTAATTGAACAGGAACTACAAATGCAAACATCACCAACAGAATACAAGAGATAAAAGAGAGAAGAATCTCAGGCATTGAAGATACAATAGAGGAAATAGAATCATCAAGTAAAGAAAATATTAAATCTAAAAATTCTTAACCCAAAACATATTAAATATAAAAATTCATAAAATAAAACATCCAGGAAAATATATGAAACTAGGAAAATATCATACCTAAGAATAAAAGGAATTGAAGAAGAAGAATCCCAACTCAGAGGCCAAAAAAATACATTCAACAAAATCATAGAAGAAAATTTTCCCAACCTAAAACAGGACATGATTATAAAGGTACAAGAAGCTTAGAAAACACCAAAGAGACTTGACCAGAAAATAAGTCTCCAGCAAAGACAAAGGAGAGAAGTATACACACACACACACACACACACACACACACACAAACACCATCATCAACAACACCAAGAATAACATGAATTAACAATCACTGGTCATTAAAATCTCTCAATATCAAAGGGCTCCATTTACCAATAAAAAGATACAGGCTAACAAAATGGACTTCTCGCCAATGAAAGCATTACTGAGAAGACACAATGAAAGCAGTGCTGAGACACAAAGTGCCTGCATAAAGAGTTTGGAGAAATTTTATACTAGTGACTTAATAACACACCTTAAAGTTATAGCACAAAAAGGAGCAAATATACCCAAGAGGAGTAGAAACAATCAAACCGAGTACTAAAATCAATAATAAACTAGAAACAAAGAGAACAAGATAAAGCATCAAAGAAATAGATAATTACTTCTTTGAGAAAATTCTACTAACTAAAAGGCAGAGAGAAAATATCAAAGTTAACAAAATTAGAAACAAAATTGGGTCATAAAATATACCAAAAAGAAATCCCGAGAATCATGAATTCATACTTCACAAACCTGTTCTTCCCAAAACTGGAAAATCTAAAAGAAGAGGTCAAATTTCTAAATAGATACCACATACCTATACTAAATTGAGATCACATACACTAATTAATATCTTTATAACCCCTAAGGAAATAGAAGCAGTCAGTAAAAGTCTTCCAACAACAACAAATAAAGTGATTTCAGTGTAGAATTCTTACCAGACTTTCAAAGAAGAATTAATACTCCTCAAATTGGTCCACAAAATTGAAACAGAAGGAACATTTCCCAATTCATTTCATGAGGCCACACTTACCCTGATATACAAACCACGCAAAGATCCAACAAGAAAAGAGAATTAGAGACCAATTTACCTCATAAATATCAAGGCAAAAAAAATAAAATACTGGCAAATCAAATTTGAAAGTACATCAAAAAGATAAAGAAACAGGAGAAGATATCAGACAATGGAAAGATCTCCCATGGTCATGGAACAGTAAAAAGTTCACTTTAACATAGTAAAAATGAACATCATATCAAAAACAACTTACAGTACAGTTTCAGTGCAATCCCCATCAAAAATTTCAACACAATTCTTTACTGACCTTGAAAGAACGATATTCAAATTTGTATGTAAAATAAAAATTAATAATTTAGGATAGCTAAAACAATCATGTACAATAAAAGAACTTCAGGGGTATCAGCACCCTTTATTTCAAACTCTACTACAGATATATAATTATAAAACAACATGGTATTGACCTAGAAATAGATGCATGGACCTATAAAATCAAATTGAAGACTCAGACATAAATCTACATACTTATGGCCACCTGTTTTTTTTTTGTTTTTGTTTTTTGTTTTTTGATAAACAGGCAAGAAAAAAGACAGACAGCATTTTCAATAAATGGTGCTGGTCAAACTGGATGACTACATGTAGAAGAAGTTAAATAGATATGTAGTTACCTAATTGACCACAAAACACAATACCAAACCTAATAGAAGAGAAAGTGGGAATAGACTTAAATTCATTGTCACAGGAAATACTTTCTGAATAGAACATTATTACCACAGGTAGCAAAATAAACAATTAGTAAATGGAACTTCATGAAACTGAAAATCTCCTATAAGACAATGGACACTCTCATTTGAAGAAATTAGAAACCTACAGAAAGGAGAAAATTTTTTTAACCATGTACACATCTGATAGAGGGATACTATTCTGAATATATAAAGAACTCAAGAAACTAGATATTAAGAAAAAAACCAACATATTTACACAGAGAATCTACATTAGTTATAAACTGATTGGCCCATTAGCTCATGTTTCTTATTAACTCTTATAACTTATATTAGCCCATTATTCTAGTATATGTTAGCCACATGGCTCAGTACCTTTTTCAGCGGGACAGGTCACATATTCTTTCTTCTTTATATAGGACTGGGGAGGAATGGGCTTCTACCTTCCCAGAATTCTCCTGTTCTCATTGACTCATCTCTAATTCCTGTCTGGTTGTCCCACCTATACTTCCTGCCTGGCTACTGGTCAATCAGTATATATTTAAAAGGATTATAACTAATATAGACTCTCTGTGTGATTTTCTTTGGGGCTGAATGTCCTCTGGTGGGAGGACAGAAACCAGGCAGGTCAGGAAACTCATTCAACACAATTCATCCTATGACATAGACCCTTGATCACCTATGTTCATTGTTGCCCTATTCATAGTAGCCAGAAATTTAAACAACCTAGATTCTGTCCAACAGAAGCATATATTTTAAATGTGGTACATTTATACAATAGAGCTATCCAAAAAATATTACAAGTCACAGGTAAATGGATAGAACTGGAAAACAAATAATCTCAATTGAGGTATTCCAGACCCATAAAGACAAATATTTGTTTATATGTGTATATTAACTACAAAATCATTGATAACCAAGCTACATTCCCTAGAAGCACAGAAGTTAGGTATAGAGTAAGGGACTAGATGGGACGGATAGATTGAGTTAGGAAAGGGTAATAGAACATAGAGTTAAGGATGGATTAGGGATTATGATGCCTGGAACAGGAGTATCAGGTGGGTGGGAAAATGGAGAAAGTGATAAGGGAGGAAATACAAGGAGAGGCAGCTAAAAATAAGGACCATTTGAGATGTGCTATGGAAAGGTGCTTAAAAGAAATCCCACACTAGCTCAGAACTGAGAAATAGATGGTTATTTATTTAGGGGTAAACTCATGAATCAGAATCCTCTGCTTGAATGGAGAACAGAAACTGAATCTAGCAACCAGTAAGAGCAGCCATAACAGAGGCCAGATGCAAGCTCTACATCAGCATATATAGTGGGCAGGAAACCCCTGCTGGAAGACTTCCTACATCAAGGTGGTAGTATGGGAACATATTGTAGTAGAAGTATCCTAAAATATATACATATATGAAAGAAATCTAAATCAAATCACCAAGTAATGGGACAGTCACAGTCTCAACTGGTTATCTCTTGTCATCAAATGAAGTTTCTATTAATTACTATGACTGCGTTTCACCTTATTGAGTTGTTGGCAAAAAGTTGTCCCATAAGAAAATCCAAACAATTTTGGCAGTTGCCAAAGCTATAGGTTGTTCTCCACAAAGTAACAGCAATACCCAATTGCTGAACACAACACCTATACAACTCATTGGACATGGAGAAGTCAAGCTGTGCCTACCTAGAACCTATATATTTACTCTCCAATGTCTTTGGTACTGGAAGAAACTCTATAGGATACCAACAAAGAAATATAAACAGCATGCCATCCATAAATCCTTTGATCTACAAGGGTATCCTGTTCATAGGATATATTAGGGGGATGGTGGAACAACTTTGGTAGGGTACCCAACTAGTATCTGATTTGACTCAAGACCTGCCACATAAGATGGAACTTATAACTGACCAAGCTTGGAAAACCAAGACCTGAGACTATATAGCCCAGGTTCTATGGTAAAACTAAATACTACTGTTCTTATAGTATTTTAAAAGAAAAAAATATTAATAAAATGACTCCTAATGATATTTTGCTATACTTAATGTCAGTAACTTCCTCAGCCATCATGACAGAAGTTTTTTTTTTTTACAGCATATAGGAAGAAATACAGAGACCCACAAGAAGACATTATGAGTAACTAACAGATTATGGAACACAGAGTTTTAAATGGGATGTCTTTATCAAAGCAACCATGGTAACCCTGTGGAACAGGAGCTGTAAGAGCCAGAGGAGATGGAGGACACCAGGAGAACAAGGCCATCTAAACTATGAATAAGGCTTATATCAATTCTCAGAAACTGAATCAGCATCCACACGGCCTGTGTAAGTCTGCACCAAGGCCTCTGAGCATATATTATAACTTCTAGTTAAGTGTTTTTATGGGATTTCTGAGTGTGTAATGAATTGGTATGTAATTTCTCTTGGGTTCTTTCCTTCTGTTTGTGTGTTTTGTTCAATTACAATGTGTTATTTCTTGTTTTATCTTATTACATATTATTATATTATATTTTATTTTGTTATTATCACATAAAAACTGTAAGCAAAGGCTGCTCATTCATTTCCTGGATGCTCATACCTGAATTGTCACAGAGAAACTACATTAATTTCAGCACTGGTTAGCCTATTAACTTAGGATTCTTATTGGCTAGTTTCTATTTCTTAATTTAAACCACCTACTCTCTCTATCTCTATCTCTTTCAGCCTGGCTATATTCTGCCCTCCTATGGGCCAAAGTAGCTTTATTCATTAACAAATAAAAGCAGCACATATACAGAAGAACATACCACAACATCTCCCCTTTTCTGTCTAATTAAAAAGAAAGATTTTAAATTTAGCATAGTAAAATTACATACAAAACAGGTATCAGTCAAAAATTACACTTACAATAAATGTTATATCTAATTTATCCTCTATCATATCTAAGGAAAATTATGATAACCTATTCTTCAACTCCATCAAAGACCTCAAAAGGATATAATATTACCTAAGTAAACAGTAAGTGCATCATAAGAAAATCCAAAACTTTAAAACTGACAGAGATATCTTGCTATCCCAGTTCTTTTTTAATGTTGGGGCACCCATCTTCAGCCTACAGGTCCATAGTGTCTGGCAGACATTTCCATGAAGCAGAACATTTGAAAAGCTTTTTTGACTATATTAGAAGTTTGTCATTCACTTTCTTCTGTTTCCTGCAAATGCTTTCATGAAGCAGAAATCCTGAAGGACTGTTTTACCTTTAGGCAAGTTCAACAGTCATTTTTCTGTGGATCCTGCATTCCAGTTCATACAGCATACCATTAAGCAGTGCAGGCAAAAGCAGTTTCTTGCCCAAATGGCTAGCAAACTCCAACCTCTTCAATGCCCATCATCCTCTTTAAATAGATGATGCTACCAAAAGCAGACATGCCTCTTTGTCAAGAAAAGTCTAAGTTCTTAAAACCTTTTAAATGCCATATTCTGTAAGTGTTTAGTGTTAAAGATTATTTATCTAACTGAAAAATGTATCTGTATATCTAGAAAACCTAACTGACTACAAGTTTGACTATTATAAAGGACTATCTATTTGTCTGTAATTTGTAAATATATAATACATATTAAATGAGTTGCACAAACATAATACCTTAAGAGCTGAGATACATATGCACAATGTAACAAAACTGACCTTGAATTTGTATCAGTATATCAAGATCCATACCAATGCCAAATATTCATCTCTATATCATATTACTTTTTTGAAAATTGATTGTTACCATTAACCATTTATAACCAACTTTTTTAAAATGAAAATAAACATTTATAAACAATATTTGTGAATTTGGGCATAGTTCTCTAAAATACTTCCTGTTTATTATTGGGCAAAGTATTCTTAGCATACATGGAGACTTTTCAGGGGGTCTTATTCCATTAAATCATATTAGCCTGGAAGGAATCCATAGATTCTTATTTTCTATGGAAACAAAAGCAGAACCGCTTTTCCAAAGTAACATATCTTTAGACTCAATTTTTTTTTCTTTTTCTTTTTTTTTATTGAGAATAAGAAAAAAAAGTTTCTGCCTCCTCCCAGCCTCCCATTTCCCTCCCCCTCCCCCCAATCTTCTTCCCCTCCCCCCTCTCTTCTCCCCCTCCCCCCACTCCTCTCACCCCCCCTCTCCTATCCAAAGAGCAGTCATGGTTCCCTGCCCTGTGGAAAGTCAATGGAAGAATGGATGAAGAAAGTGTGGAATATATACACATTAGAGTATTATGCTGCAGTAAAAAACAATGACTTCTCGAATTTTGCATGCAAATGGATGGAAATAGAAAACACTATCCTGAGCGAGGTAACCCAGACCCAAAAAGATGAACATGGGATGTATTCACTCATAATTGGCTTCTAGCCATAAATAAAGGTCACGGAGTGTATACCTGGTGAACCTAACGAAGCTATAGACTCAAATTTTGAAGTCAAGAAATCTTTAAAATATATATGTTGGTTTATCTTTGCAGACTATAGAATGAAATGTCTCTCTGTAGTTAGCTCATTCATAGAAAAAGATTCAAAGAAAACACAATAATATACATAACCCAGACTCTCTGTTTATTTTCCATCTTTACATGGCTCTCTTTGATTTTTAAAATATTCATTTCATTATCTTTACTCCTGTAATCTCTGTCAGTACTCTTTCTTCTCTCTCTCCTAAAGTCATGTACATTTATCCAGCACTGTTACCCTTTCAGAAGGCTGTCTGAATCTGTCTTTATTGTGTATCTGTAATCCTTTTCTACCAGGAGCACTTCTTAAAATACTAAGCAGTGTGTAAGAGGAGGGGGCTGCTTGTTGGCTCCTGGATGCCCAGCTAGTTTAGTCCTAAAATAACCACACAATTTCTATGCTGTATTTCCAGTTAGTATTTTAACATTGTTGTGTAGTCGATTTTAACTGTATTTTAATAAATAAAGACTGCTTGAAGATCTGAGAGTAAAACAGTTCCACTGGTTAGCCTTATAGACCAGATTATGGTAACCCATACTTTTAATCTCAGTAAAGATGATGACACACACCTTTAATCTCAATAGCCACACTTGTGGCCATAGAAACTGGGTGGTGCATGCCTTTAGTGATGTCAGTGTACACCTTTAATCCCAGTTTTACAGAGAATTATAAAACAGCTCTCAGACATACAGTCTCTTTCTGGGATCCCAGGAGGCAGGATTGCCATTTCAGACTGAGGTCAAGGTAAGAACCAGTGACTGTTTTGCTTTTTGGATCTTCAGGTTGAACTCCAATTTCTGACTCTGAGGTTTTATTAATCATGTATCATTTAATCATGTATCATGGTAAAATTAGCTTGTCCCAAAGAAAACAGGAATTTTATTAAGCCAAATCCTTTTCTAACAATTCTACTCCTATATTTTGAGGGTTGAAAATTAAGAGAGTAAACTTTGTTTCTTCCCTTGTCTTTCACCTTGGGTAGATACTAATTTTTGTGGATCTGATCATTTCATTCTTCTCTCTGTACTCTGTCTATGATGTTGTCACTCCAGAGTTGGAGTTTTGATGTATCTCTTATTTATCCTGTTAAATCATTTCTAGAATAATATCAACCAATCTAGTAGAGTCTATGAAACTAATCCATGGATAATTATATTTATAGTATATTAGGCACAATAAAATAGGAATTATGAAGGTAATACTCTTATTTTCCATTTCTCATACTTAGACTGACTAGAACTTAAATAAAATATTTGTTTGGATATACTTTTCATGTCAGTAAATATTTCTTTATTGATTAATTCTTATTCTCATTGATGTAGATACAATGAAAGAAGAAGCTGGCACTAGTACACTAAATAAGATACATGTAATTGGGAATAATGGCTCTAAGGAAGTATTTTTCATGCTATGTCATAGAGAGTGAGCTTGTTATATTCTATGTGAGTCAGGAACTAGATTCATTTCAAAAATGAAAATGCTAAAAATCATTTTGACTTTAAAAGATAGTAAGTAGATGGTCTATATTATAGACTTCCACATTTGGATTGTATCTGTCTTAGGGTTTCTATTGCTGTGATAAACTGTAACCAAAAGTTGGTTGGGGAGGAAATAGTTTATCAGTCCTCCACTGAGAGAAGTCAGGCCTTGAACTCAAGATGGGAACCCCGAGGCAGGAAGCTCATGAAAGAGTTCTGTTTACTGACTTGTCCTTTCTGTCTCGCTTAACTTACTCGCTTATAGTACCCAGAACCATTACCATAGGAGTGGCACTACCCACAGTGATCTGGACCTCCTACATAATCATCAGTCAAAAGATCATCTTCTTCATAGGCTAGTCTGATAGGGGCAATTTCTCAAGTGAGCTTCTTTTTCACCTAATGTCTTTATCTTGTGTCATGCTAATGCAAATCTAGCCAGTGCAATGTTCCTGTGATATAGAATGGTCCCCAGGTTCTTCCTTCCCCAGATTTCTCTCTGTTTTCACTAGGTCTTTTTATCTTTCTTATTGTTTCTCTTGAATTGGAGGTAAACTCAAAATCTACACTAAAATATCAAAATGTCTGAATAGAGATATAATCTGTAAAGTGAAAATGCATTGATCTTAAATATACCTTCTAATGAATTTTCAATAAATACATACTAATTCAACCAACATCATATTCAAGATTTGATACTTTTTAATATTCTAAAAAGCTCCCATTTACCTCCTTTTGTTTATTCCTATTCCAGAGAAAATGATCTTTTCACCCCCGGTTTATCTTGGTCTTAATACAAATTGGCATATATGGCATTTGCTCCCATATAGACTTATTTCATCCAATATAGTGTTTGAAGGATTTAATTATTAACATTTTCTTCTTTTGGTACAGTGTTCTTCTTAATAATTACACTACTCATAACTTATTCCCTTTCCTGATAATAAACATATAGCTTGTTTATCACTTTGTGATCATTGTAAATAAAGCTGTTTTAATATTTTCTCCAAGGCTTTGTATGAACTCATATTTCTGTTTCTCATGAATAAATACCTAAATGTGAAGTTACTGGATCCTGGTTTAGGCACAGATTAACTATAGAATAAACTGCCTAAAACTTTTTAAAAATTTTCTTTAGTACTTCATAAACCCATCAATTATATGTGAGAACTCCTGTTGTTTCAGCTCGACACCACTAGGTTTTATTGGTAATATTTTCTATTTTATTGATTTAAACAGATGTTATTTAGCATTTCTTCATTGTACCCAATCATTTTATGGAACTTAACTTTTTCACAAATTATTGAACTCTTAAGTCAAAATTTTATCTCTGGAAAATTAGAATTGCATTATGTTTATATTTATACACCCTTGATAGTCAAGGATTAACTTATTTTGGTGACACAAGCCCCAGTTAAACCTTCACAGTAGCAGTTGGAGTGAATTATCATTCAAAAATGAAAGAAGGCAGTACATCTGCTCTGCTTTAAGTGCAGACATTTCTTACGGAGGGAAAATAAATGTAGTCTTATTTTTGGAAGTATTTACTGATGAGTAAGATTAATAGTAAAATTAAAATGCTGACTTGTAAATGAGTAAAACATGAAAAATTATCATGACGGGTTGGGAAGTTGTCAGAATCGACACACGTTTCTTACTTCAAAGTGTCTCTGAAGTCAACGAAATCCCTTGAGGCACTCAGATGTGTGTATGGGTGTATGTGTAATACATGTGAATGTATGGGATTTTCCCTTTGGCATTTCACCCAATTATGTTTTATGGATAAATAATTAAGTAGATAGATTAACAATTATTTGACATATAGTTTTCAATTTTCTCTGTTTTGAAAATTGAGTGTGCAATTTATTGATTGACATTTGTAAGAATTCAATTAAATATAGTTTATCTTCATTACATATGTCCATGTCTTCCCTTTTTACCTTTCTAACTTTCTGAAGTACTAAATAAAAACATGAACTCTGTATAATATTAAGTAATTGTTCCAAAACTTGAGGTTCACTCAGCTACCATAAAGTGTTAGAGCACAGAGCCTTGCTTTACGAGTTGCTTCCTTGGAGTTTAAAAAACTTACTGTCATGATTGTCCAACCCCATAGAGGTTGAGAGGACTTAGAATTTTACTAATTTTGAGGAAATAAAAGATAGAAAAAGGCCTGTTTGGTGACCTGGTCCTGTGTCCAACAAAAAATTACATTTTCAGTGGTCTTATATGTAATTTTCAGTTTGACTTTAGAAACTTTAAAATATTCAAATTTCAAGTCATCACTTGCTTTAAGAAACCACTTCAGAGAGGAAATAATTGAGCTTATATCCATTGCATATTAAAATGATAATGTAAAATATTCTAAGAATTATTGACTCAACAAACTGGAATCTAAGCACTGACTTAGATTATCTCTGCCAAGTATATGTTACTGATCCTCCTTTCATTTCCATTTCAAAAATAGTGAGCATTTTCTCTGTGTAAGAGGAATCCACATGAATTTACAGTGAAATGAAAGCTTCTTGACTTTGTGAAATTGGACTTGAGAGTCTCCTTTCAGTATTGTAATTGGTATCACAATCTGTAACTTGGAGCACTAAGGCAGGTGTGATGATAATCTTGGGTGTGCTGGAAGGGGCTAGTCTTGGTGCCTGCACTGATGTTGTATTGTCTATGTCATCACTGAAGCTTTGGTCAGTTTTTCCTCATGAGGTTGGTTTAATAAGGGAATCAGGAATTGAGGAGACATTTTAATCTTCATATAGCTGACATTGATGACTAAGCCTTCCTCCTCTTTCCCCTTTGCTGTCTCCTTGTTTTCCTCTTCCTTTTTTTTTTTATTATCATCAGTCATTTTGGCTACTGTTTTCTAAAATTTATTCATTGTCACCTCTAGGTTCCATGATCAGAATGCTTTTATATTTTTTAACTTCATATGTATAAATATTTTTTTTGCATGTGTATGTATGCGTGAATGCATGTATGTATGTATATGAATCACATGTATGTCAGATGCCCATAAGGCCCAGAAGAGGGCATAAGCGTACCTGAACCTAGAGCTACAGATGGGGGCTGGAAACTGAACCTTGGTCCTCTGGAAAGCAGCCAGTATTTTTGACCATGAGAGTTCTCCTTAACTCCAGAATTGGTTTCTTGTAGATCTG